TATACACACTCTTTCCAAAGCCCTGAAAATTAACAAGACTTGGGGAAAGACCCACATGTATTTATCAAGTGGCATCAACAAAAAGTACCACTGGCAATAGACATGGACTGGGAATGCTCCTGAATACAAAAATCATAGAACCAGCATGAGATTTAAAACAAAATAAGAAACTCATACCCTAGAATTTAAATACTTTTCTCCTGTCTGCTTTGGAGCTTTCTGGACAAGCATTCACTTTTTTTTACTTTTTTTTTTTTTCAAACCACTAAATGAAAGCAGATATTCTTCTGCTCTTACTTAACTCCCAGTTGAGACTGCAGAGAAGAAAATGTGGCAATATGCAACTGCAAGAGTTGTCAACATTATACCAACTGTTTCCTTGTGGTATCCAAAATGTAAGCTTTTGTACCTCAATTCCCAACTTTCAGGGTGCTGGCACCTTTGGAAATTTGACTTCTCCACATGCCTCAGTCCCCCAAGCAATTCTTTCTCCAGCAGATGGAATACAATTACAATGAGAATTTTCAGATTAAAAAACCCCACCATGCTCTACAACTCTGCAAAGGAACAGACAGGAACAAAATTGACAGTACCCCAATCTCACTACTCTATTGTCTCTTACCTTTACTTAGAGCTGTATAAAGTTTTTATAGATTAAAAGTCTACATAGCCTCATAACATCTCTTGGCAAAACATGACTTGAAAAAAGTGGAACTAATATCCTTTGTTAGGATATTAAATGAGAAACTAACAAAATACACTGGCAAAACACAATCCTGGTTATTAAAAAAATCCTGCAGCAGCAAGTCACACAGCTAAAATAGCAAAAAAGAAAACATGAGGGCATGTCAGCAAAGCAAACCTCTCTGAGAGTTTCTGATTAGTACAAGACTTGTCTGCTTTTAAAACTTTTAGTATGTCACAGATAATTTAGTTCCTTCAAGTGCAGAGAAAAGAATTGCAGGAGACAGAGCTACAATTTTCCTTACAATAGGAAAAGCATTTACAGAAGCACAAGGCATTAGACTGGAGAATCTAGGGGGTGGAGGGAGGTAGTTATAAATACAACAACCACTGAGAAATTATTCAATAGGTGTTTGTGTTCTTACAGTCCTGACACTGATCTGCTACTTACAGACTTCCTAGGTTTTAATGTTTAGATACTTTTGGCTTTCTTTCTTAGCATTAAAACTACACAACACACATTTTACAGGAGAAGACAATGACCCTGAGATTTTGACTTGCCATCTGTTAACGATGCAAAGGAGGGGCAGATCCAACATTTTGAACACAGCACTCTCAAGACTTCCAACTCCCACCTGCAAACATTGTCTCCTACTAGAACACACCTGCAGCTTACTCCTTTGTGCTGTCCTGCATGCAAGCTTTATCATTCATTCACTCAAACCTCATGCTGAAGAAATGCACCATTACAATCATGTCCTCTAGACTGAAGCACAGACTGCAATCCCAGGGTTTGTTGTGCATGACTCACAATCAAGAAACGGTCTAAGCTCTTACAAAGCTATTTAGATAAAGAAGAAAGATACAAAACAGCTTTCAGGGCCAAATGATGACTCAGGGATCATCTTGTGGTACTTAGTCGTTCTGAATTAGGGGACAAGCGGATTTGTCCCCAAAGGATGTTTCAACTTCCTGAGGATATTGGACGGTGACATATAAACCAAACACCTTGCATCCTGTTTTATTTATCAGCAGCCTGTCTTGTCAGTCTGGAAGGTCTTCTAGAGTTTCATGGACTTCTGTGTTTTCTTTTAGATACTACCCTGTGTAAGTATTATTTAAGCAGCACAGCAGGGGAAGGTGTAGTCCTCTTCAGAAAAGGAACAGCAGAGGACAATACAGGGCATCTTTCCACAGGCAACGGGAGGCTTCTAGGTCATCCACACTCACTGTAAATGTATGTGGCATGGCAGCAGATAAGAGAAAAAATGTGGCTGTCTTCCCAGTGACCTTATGAACCGACAGATGGCATAGCAATTCACAGTTTCATACTTTACTTTTCCTAACATGGATGTTAGGGGGAGGAAGGGGGAAAACGAGCTTCCCAAACGGATCTGAAGAGATGTGAGGGATGACACTCTGAATGCCCTTCAGATGCACAAAGGCCACAACCAGTGATCACAATGAAAACCCAAGTGTAAATTCCTCACGGCTATCCCAGCATTTCTTAATGTCCCACACAAAGAGGTCTGCATTTTGCTGTGATTCTCTGGTCATAATTCTTTAGTCACCATCTTGCTCAAATTACTCTGCAGAGCAGCATCTTCCCTCAGCACTGCCAGGCACTGCTCACTGGCTGTTCAAACCAGTGAAGATTCGGTTTTCTCCTCTGATTTTGGCAAGCTGGAATTTGTTAATTCCACATCTGCTGCAAGACTCCCAGCTTGTTTTCATGCCAGTGATCTTAAAGAAATTGAGGTCCTCACAGATTGTGGTACCAGGAGAAAAAATGTCAAATTTGAGAAAATATGGGAGAGGCACTTGATAGAGAAGGCACACTAATGCTACATTAAAAATCCAACTATTTTCAATATTACTAATTATTTCTATGAAAGACCAGAGGAAACTTGCTGCATTACTCTGGGGAATATAAATGTATTTTCACAGAAAACTAGATATCAATCCTAGAAACCATTCCCCATTTTGCATCCTTACCCTTAGACATCTGCCTAATTCAGAAGCCAGCCTGGGCTGATGGCTAGCACTCTTCCATTACAGGATGTGTAATATCATCAACAGCTGGGTAACCAAGTGTAGCAAGTGCAGGACTAAGAAAGTGACAGGGCCTGTTAGAATAAGATTTTTCGAATGAAATGATACATTGCTGCTGACTCTTAATTTAAAGCCTCGATATCCATTTAGGTTTGATTGTCAGAATGTGCTACAAATGTCCAGTCTAATTTTGTCACTTAGTTCCCTAGCAGAATCTCTGATCCTCTGTTTTTAGCCAACACTGTGTGAGAGGCTTTGTTCTCTGCTTCACCTTAATTCTCAAAACTTAATTGAGTTTGGCACTTGCATGATGACTGAAGTTGACAACTCGATTGCTGCCATAATTTCTTATTTTCTCAAGGAACAAGAGCTACAGAATCTGTCTGTAGCCCATGGTGTAGTTCTCCACACTGCCTCTTGGTTAATTTCCTCCTGGAAAGAACATTCAAAAGCAGGGTCTAAACACAGGATTTGAGCTGAGAGCTGCAATAAGCATAAACAGCATTCCCTACAGAGGTGTTTTACCCCACTGTCTTTGGGACATCTCTGCACTTTTGGTACAGACACCGAAGCTGGGTTAATATAAGCTAACCAGGCACCAGGGATGTCAAAAGCATGGAGTAGACACACAGTTACATCAGCTCCCATACTCGAAGCCTTAACTAGTAACCTAAAAATGTACTTTTTGCTTACAGTCTACAGCCAAAGGTTAATTATAAATCTTTCTTTGCAGCCTACAAGTCAAGGTAAACTATCAAGCATGCAGAGCAGCTAAGCTCTATATCTCGGTTGAAGGTAAAAATGTAAACTGTGCCTTGAACTCCTGCTGTTAGGCTACAGACATGGAGTTTCTGACCACAAGCCTTTACTGATATTCTTGGAACTTCACTAACTCTGGCCCATTTCTCAGAACACAGAGACATAGGCAGCTCTTGTAGAAATATGAAATACTTGAACCTGCAAGACAGAGGCTTCCAGAAAGGCCTATTATTTAAAAACTGCATCCGGAGGGAAAACCCTTCATGTTTAAGAAGGAGGAAGGGAAAGTCCTGGAGCCTCTTGCTAAGGGGCTCTCTCCACAGCTGCAAGCAGCAGCTGGTGGCATCACCACAGCACGAGACCTCCAAGCTCTGTGACAGAACTGAATGGCAAACAGCAAGTCCAAGTGCACAGCAGTCTCCTTGGTCAATGCAAGGAAGATGAAAAGGCTAAGTACCTAGGAAAAGGCAGAGCTCCCAGACTCACTCACCACCCCCATCCCCTCTGGCCCAAACCTTCCAGGCAGGCTGCCAAGTCTTTAAGCCCCACTGCCAGGAAGCTGGGAACTCAAACGAGTAAGAAACTGGACAGATTTTCAATAAAGTATCTTGCTAAAACTAGGACACCTCTGCCATTTTGCAGAGAAAGCTGAATCAGCACAGAACATCCTTGCATGGGAAATTGCTCCCCAGACCACTGGCACACTTAGTAAATCCTAGACAGCTAGCTGAGACATGGAGATTTCCCTCAATACTACACTTACTTTTAAAAAGGCAAAGTAAAATCAAGAAATTAAAACCTCCTGGGATTAGCACTGCTCTGAAGAATGAGTTCATACTGTCTCTGCTCCCAAATTAGACCGTTTCTTTAAGCACCACAGCTAAACTCATTATATATTCTTACCAGCAATATGCTATTAATATCAGATGCAAGCAGATAGCCTTGCCCTGCACAAGACAATGTGTTTTTTATCAGTTTTAAAATATTAATTCCTCTTTAACACAGAAAATTCTAAGAGTTTTAAAGCATTCTTTAAGTATCATGAAAAAGGCAATATAACTAATCAGAAACAGCAAAAAATGGCAAAAAGATTAAGACACTGCAATTCGATTTCCTAGAAAATAATGTGCCACCAGCTGTGTAAACCTTCCTGTAGCTAAAACAAATATTCTGTAAATAAGGAGGCAGATGCTTTACACTGTAGCCTCTCTCCTCAGCAGTCAGGCCTCTCAAAGCACTCTCAAATTGTCTCTTAGATTGTACGAGGGCTTTAAAAACAGCCATAGAACAAACTGATTTGATAAGCAGGACTCTGAGCTATCTTTAATTTTTATGCTCAATTCATTAACTCTGAGCTCCTGCAGACACATCCAGTACTGCCACTGAACACAACCAATAACCAGAACAAGGTGCATTATTCCTCTGGCACACCACACAAGACACATGCTGGCTCAAGCAGTGGGACTCTTGGGTTTTCTCTCCCAAACAGAGAGGCAAGGGCCTACCTGCTGATTCCAGTGACAGGCACCATGCATTCTGTAGAGTTTCCTCTTCTGGAAACTATGAAGTGGCCTTGTTCGGGCAGATGTGCTCACATTATTCACAGAGACAGATCTGAGTCTTGTCCTCTCTCTTCTTCTTTTCTTGATGTGCTGATGGTCAAGCAGCCAGCTGCTTGAAGAGGATACCTCTCTATTGTCTGAAGCTCTGCAGTTTCATGAAAAATGAGGAGAGGAAATACAAAATGTCAGATATGCTCTACATGCACAGGCCAAGATTTCACACACTGATTAGCATTAGCTATCTAATTCTAAGAGAATTTTATAAACACCACAAGGTTGTAGCATGCTGTTTCAGACAACTGTGTACGTGCTTTGTTTGCTAGTTAATTACTTCCATGTCATGAAAGGGAGTTTATCATTCTTCTTCACCTTTCTGCTCATGGAAACAAATGTCAAAATGAAGTTAAGCCCTCAAGCATATATCCAGTTTTGTTTTTCACTAATTCAAGAACTCTCTAATATTTTTAACATATATGAGTTTCACGTTACAATTAATATTTCCCTTCATACTGACATTCCATTCAAGACAGCAGTCATGCTAATGGACAGGAGACCTGGAGTTTTGTCCTAATACTTACAAGATTTTCTGGTTTTGCTCCAACACTGAAATCTAAGTAAAGCTTTACAAACCAGTGGTCATTCAACATAAGTTTGCAACTCACTCTGAAGCATTTGTATCAAAATTAGGAACTCTACAACTTCAAGAGTAGAGTGTCAAAATCAAGTGCAAAGACGCGGCCAAAAGCAGTGGAAGCCCCTGCATGTATGTGTAGAACAACCCCACACCATTCTCACCAACCTACAGCTTGTCTGGTGACCACAACAGACAACACCACAAGATAAGAATTTAAAACACTCTCCCATTTGGGTGGGAATGACTCAATGGGAAGAATGAACTTCCCAGTTATAGGTATTCCTGATTTTATTTTGTTGCTCTAGCAACATCTGCCTGCAAAGTTGAAGGCTTGCTGCAGAAAGCACTCCAGTGTGCTTTTATTTTCACAATAGTGAAGACCTTGATCACAACTCTGGACTGTCTGAGCAGTGCAACTACACAAGGCATTTTGGCCTTGGTTCATAACAGGTCATCTATCTGCACAAATGATTATTTTGTGTTATGACAAGTCACAGTTTTATTAGTAAAGCTGGGACACAATAGAATACGAAAATGAATTTATTACAAGGCCACTTACAAATCTTTTTTGACAGGTGGTATTCTTTTAACAGTACATTTTTATTAAATGAAAGGGCTTGTTATGGAAGTGTGATTAAACACCAACCCATGCTGTGTTGGAGCTTTACAAAGCTTCACAGGATTGAATTTGAGCTGTCTTCCTGACACAGCAATATAATCCAATAAGCAACACAGACACATGAAAACAACATGCTAATTAACACAGGGATTATACAAAGTATTTAAAAGAACATACCAGTAAGTGCCAAGAAACAGCCCAAAATACTGGGGCACGACATTCTTAATATTGACAATACTGGGGCATGACATTCTTAATATCAACACTGCATTTTTAAGGCTTGAGAAAGAAATACAAAATTTACAGGCCATGGAAAAGACTTCTTAAAATACTCTCTGAATTCTCAAAAAAGATTTAAGTCAGATGGTCCCAAGCTCAAGTTGTGGATTTCCACATACTTCTCTCTTAAGTGAGGAACAACTTGGACAGATAAATTAGAACAAAAAGCTCCTCAGCCTGGCTCTTCAACTTCTGTGATTCCTGCCTTTGTTCTGGTGGTCTGCTGAGGCCCTTGGTAATTTCTCTGCAGCCTCTGACATCTGCTCTATTTACTCTCCTGTGCCTTGCAGTAATGCACTGCTCCAGTTTCAGTCTCACCAGAGACATCTCATCTTCGTGGCCTGGAGCTCCAGCACATGGCAGTGGGGTTTTCCTGCCACTTGTGCAAAAGGTTTCCCAATGAAGCTTTGAGTTACCCATGTAGTTTGATCTTAGTCTGAGCAGTTTTCAAAATGTGACTCTACAGAAAAGCAAAACGAACCATGGCCAGATGTGAAAGTCATTCCTTTGCTAGAATGTTCCTTTCAAAGCTCATAGGTTTGCCTTTCTTGCTCTTGACCTTACTTCCAGATGCAAGCCTGCACCATAAGCCATCAAACAGGCACTATTTGTCCTATTTGAAGTATTAAATTTTTCCTTCCTGCATAAGAAAGTGGCTATCACCAGCTTAGGGAACTGCTTCTATAAGCATCTACCTTCATGTAATGCTTTGGGCTAATCTTGGCACCTAAATTCAACTGGGCAAGGAAAAGGCACACAAAAGAAGGAAGGCACTAATGTCATTAGGCCTTGACAAATGGCAATTCAAGGTTGCCCATATTCAGTCAACCAGGAACTGGCCATGCACCTCCACTTCCACTGTGAACAGCCCATGTAACCAACTGTGCTGCAACCCCACCATTACCAACCCCAAAGCATCTCATGCTTAAACCTACTTCAAAAATGGAAAATTGTGTTTTTCACATTAACAGCCTACAACTAATTTCAAGAGCTTACTTAAGTGAAAATTGCTATCATCTGTTTTTCCCTTCTCAAAAATAAAAAAAATCCCCTTATTTTCCTTTTGATTTCTGCTTTCTGAAATACTGAATATAGTCAGAATGAACTCTAGAAAAAGCAAGGGAGAAGGAGCTAAGAATTAAGTTAACTATTAACTAATAAGTTAATTCAATTAATTGAACACACAGCTACCACAACAACAAAATACCACCAAAAAACTGAAACACACTCAAAAAACTCCAAGAAGTAGGAGGCAGTGAATTTCCCTGAAGGATTCTCATGATAGCCACTTTATTTCATGCATCTTTAATGAACAGTATTTATTGGCAGATTTCAAATCTCTTCATAAGCAGTGAAATATTAACTGTTTAACTCATGTTTAAGACATCATCTAGAAAGCCCTAAAATCTCTCAGATTCCCTTCCAACACCTAACTTGCCAAACTCCAGGTTAGAGCTACAGCACTGAGAAAACCTTCCAAGTCCAAACATTTTTCTTTAGACTTTTTTAGGTGATGAGTAGAAAACAACCAACCTCAGAGAGTGACCCATAAGGAAACAATGAGTTACTCCTGAAATGGAAAGACTAACTTTGGACAGTGACTAATAAATAAGAAGAGAATTAGCTTGAAATTACATCATTAGAGTCTCTCACTATGAAGTTAACTTCATATACTCCTAAAAAGACTTTTCAAAGCAGAATTCTTCCTCATGAAAAAGTCAGATTCAAGACACAGCCTAAATTACTCTCTTCTTCCATATACCCATCTCTATTAGCAATTCCTGTTTCAAGGCTATTTTTAGTCCACATCTGACAGGAACCACCTGATTTTCTCCTTCTGTAAACAACTGATACACCAGGAGCAGGGATATCACATGCCAGGATCCCTTCATCTTTACATTTAGGGCAGAATCACACAATCACTGTGGAACAGACAGCAGCTAAAGAAGCTGCTCACTGTAATCTCTTTGGGGGAGGCTGCAGCCTCTGCAGCAAAGCTGAAACAGATGCTGTGGCCAGCTCTTCTTGGAGTCAGGAGCCAGGGAATTATGTTCTGCTGCACACTTTGCCATAAACACCCCACTTCCAGTTGGGAACAGTTTCTTCATCCACCTGATCTTAATTAAGACCTGTGAATAACAGCATCCTCAAAAATCGCATTACAAGTATCTCAGGAGAATTATCTGACATACCTAGACCATTTGTAACTGAATTCAATTACCTTAATGTTGTTTTGAAATTAATATTTATTACAGCCTGTACTGTACTTAAAATCTTTGAATAAAAGATAGAATTACGAAGTAGTATGGACTAGCACTGAGAAACATTTTTCTAAAATATTAATTTCAACCCACAGTCATCTTGGAAGGTATGTCCATCCAGAACAAAATACCTTGAATGAAAAATAGTATCTCCAAACTCCTCCAAAACGTGGGTGGCAAAGATAAACTTGGCCTTTTACTGAAGACTGATCTGCTTAAAATTAATGAAGTTACCACCCTGACACTGACCCCTGCTGAGACACATGACATTGCTTAAGTATTCTACTAATCTAGTTTGCCAGTTTTCCAGAAATAAAGCTGCACTTGTTATGACAGAATGCATTAAGTCTCAAACAATCACAATAAATGTGCTCTTATATTCTTTCACTACTTCACAGATTAATCTTCCCAGTACTTAAATGTAGTTATAATGACTATACATTTATGGTATTTTTAGGAACAACACAAAACCCTGTTTTCAACCTTACAACCAAGACTTGACTTTTCTTGAAGCCTGCAGAAAGCAGTTCTCTTTTCCTTAATATTGTAATGATATTAGGCCCATACAGATAACTTTACCAGAAGTTATTCCAAAAAAAAAAAAACAAAAACAAAACTATCCCACTGTCACCCACCTGAAGGAGATGCCATTGACCAGCTGTCTGTGTTTACAGGTCTTGGATGAAAGAGATGAAGAGGCTGGGGACAGATTGAGTGGAGCAATTAGGCTGCTGATGATTTCGCTTAGTTGTGCGCTCTGGAAAAAAAAATAAAAAATTAATGGTAGTCAGACTTTTATCCAGACTCAATAGCTCAAAGGTCCTGGGTTCTTTCTTCCTACTTAGGATTTCAGTCCCATACATCATGGAATAATCATATTTAGTTTCTTCCTGTGATTAACTGTGTTGGCATTGTTTTTCTTTCACAATTATTATGTTCAACTCTACCAAAACCCGAATAAAACACCAAGAAAAACCAGCACAACCCTGAACATTGTTTATACACTTGTACCCCAAACGCATTAGTGATCTTAGTATTGTAATCAAAGGTCTTTAAAAGGAAAAAGACAGCAGAATATTTTATAGCTGATATTACAACAGCTGCAGCTAGAGCTGCTAACTGGCCACTTGACAAGCATTTCAACTGGGTTAAAAAAAAAGGTCAAATGTCTATTCCATTGTACATTTTGTTCACTGGAAGTATTTTTGTTCTTAAAAGAATCCTCTTCATTGCTTACTACAGTTTGACAAAGATGTTTTTATAAAAGGAAGTGTAACTACTTGAGGACTATTGTAAGGACAGACAGAATGGATAAGATCATCTGGTATCCTCAAAAATAGCAGCAAGAGGCAACCACCCCCCTCCTCCTGCAAAAAAACCTGACTTTCAAAACTGACCACAAACAAATGAAACAAATGTAGCCAATTTGTTAAGACTAAGAATTACTCCTTGCAAAGCAATGAATTGTGGACTGACTCCAAAAACATTTCACAATGATTTTTTGTTTTAAATGTCAGACCTTAAATGCTATTCTCACAATAAATATAGCTTGCTTAGAGGAAACTGTTCTGCACACTGAACAGCAATTAAATGTATCTGAAATGGCATATTCCTTTTTTAAAAAAATCCAACCTTTTGCATTACTTTGCTGGATTTTCATTCAGAACTAAGAATGTTTAAAACATGAATTGCTAGAGGTTATCTAGTAAGTTTTCCTTACATTTTGATTTTACATTTACATTTATGCAGAAAGACGAAGGTTTTTTTTTTTATTTTAATACAACTGACATATTTTCTGTTAATATTTAAGTGATGTAGTCAGGTAAAAATGTCACATTAGAATAAAAAATTCAAGGATGGATATTAAAGCACAGCAATAGCAAGTCAATTATAAAAGAACTGGGCAAAGCAAACAAGACATCAGTAAAAGAGTTAGCAGATTGATTTAAAAATCTCAGCAGAATTCAGTAGTCTCTACTGAATATAAGAGCATTAAAAAACCAGCAGACTTCCAAAACACAAGGACAAACATATATGTAGCTATGAAAAGGACTTGAAAAGAGTATTAATAAAAATTGCCAGCCTTAGTCACTGTCATTCTACATGACTTTTATTTTGGTTCACATGTAAAATTTCTTATTTTTAACAAAGAAATACTTTAATACTGGACTAAAAAATTCTGTGGGAATATCTGTAGATGTACCTCAGGCTGCAGCATTGCTGCTCCTGACACTGAACAAGTAGCTCAGACTTTCAGAGTTAAGAACAGAACTGTAGTCAAAAAGAAAATTAAACCCCAAGGCTTTTAGTGGTGTAAAAGGGAGGAACTCCAATGTGCTGTGTGAGATGTCCAAGTCATTTTCAGACCAACTTTGTGGCTACTTGGGGACCAGGAAACAGACCACCATCCCTTGAATCATCCAAAGTTTTACTGAAAAGTGTGTTTAATTCTCCAAGCCACCACTTAAAAGAGGGGCCATTCATCACAGTCTAAAAATGCTTTTTGGGTTTACCTTATGCAATTGTCAGCACTGAGCATACAAATTTCCTGTTTCATTGCTTCCTCACTCCTGCCCGTGGTGGGTAAGATTTATCAACCAGGGGAAAGCATTTTAAGAACAGGAAATTATGATTATCAAATAAGAAAAACAGGCATAGAGATTCAGGAACAGGCACTACTACTTAATGCTACTACTTATATCCCTATCAAAAAATGTGTGTAAGACCAGGAATTTATGTAGAGCAGCAGAGCAACAAATTAATCCCCCACAGTGGCTTTGTCAGGTTTGTTTTACACAAATTGAATAAATTCATTCTGAAAAACAAATTTCCAGTATCTCCTTCAGCAATGTGATCCTACCACATCCTTTCAAGCAAAGGAAAACCCTGCTGGAGCCTACATAGAATCAACCATGGAAACAGCCATTTTGTACAGTGCAAAGCAAAACCTAGCCCACAAGTACATCTCCACTGTGCCTGGAATTCCTCAGCTACAAACCAGAGTCCTACAATGTTTGAAAAGGCAAATGAACAACTGGATTCTGCTGGGGCTTTTTTTTTTTCTTTAATTTCAAGTGCAATATATCTCCAATGTCAGCTGTTCTCTTTCATTTCACATTAAGCATTTCCTGAAACAACCTAGAGTGGAAACTCTACACTGAGGCACTGTAAAGCAGGAGCAGGTTTGTGGATGGTTCTTAGAGGATGTTGTGAGTCTGCTTGGAGGGAAACGATGTGGTAACACAGACACGTCAGAAATAAAAGGTTAATTTGTAAAGCTGGTGTACAGTGGAGTTATTGAAGCCCTTCCATTAATCACCACCCAATCCCAGGACTGTAAAATAACTTTCTTTTTGGAAGTCATCACCATGGAACCTGCCTGTTTCTGAAGTCAATCATTTGGCTTCAGTGACAACTTTACCTGTTTTTCTATGTTCCGTAGAAGCAGAGTAGGACTGCTGGGTGACATTTCAAAGTCGTGGTCCTGCAAAGAATCCTGTCTCTCAATGGCAGCTTGGGAATTCCCTGTGGTGTTTAATAAAGCTCCTTGGTCTGTCAATTGTATTTGCTTCTTCAAAATGTCTTTTGGAAATGGGAATTCTTCTAACACCACCATCCCCTAGACAACAGCAATTGAACACAGTTGGTTGACAACAGATTAACCCTCCTAAACAATTTTTAAAGGGCAGTCAAACCTGGCACATTCCTCTTAAATCCTCCTGACAATTTTCAAGCACTTGACTAGATTTTAAATACACTTCACAGCTAAAATATGGAAATTCTAGGCATATTTTTTTTTTAAACTGCATCAATTATGCTACTCCTTGTAACAGCAATAGCTCCAGTGTTATACCACTGCTTAAACATCTGTTCCAAAATTCATATCAGAAATTCATACTTATTAGAATGTTATATGATAATTTGCCAGCTGATTTAAGAGGAGGTTTTTCTTTAAAAAATGATCATCCTTTGATTAGAACTTGGTTTTAGTCTTTGTAGTCAATAAACTTTGCTGGAGATATTTCAAAGAACTCTATTTCTCTTCTATTTCTCAAGGCTGTTATGTAGCAGAAATTACACAATTCTAAACAAAAGCCTTTTACAATTCAATAACTGATTTTTTTTTAAGGTGAGCATTTTTAGAGTTTCATAATTAGAAGTAACTATCCTAAATATTCTAGCACTGTCACTACTTTTCAAGACCATCTGCACAAATATGGTATCAGAAGTGGTGTACCATCTAGAATGTCACCTAATAAGATAAATATAACTTTATATGGTAAGGAAATAACAGTTTCATAAATGGAACCAGAAGAATAATACCCCTATTGTGCTTTCCACGTGACAGATGAGAAAATAGAAGTCTCTAGCACAGTCCTAACACTGTATCAGTTGGTTTAAGAACTTAAAATGTTAAACAAAATAAAAGCAAAAATAACCTTGTGACAGTCAAACCCAGTCCTCAAATAGTTCTTTGGTTTGTTATTATCTTGAGCAAATAAATTTAATACCAGAAACAGTTATCAAACCTCCCCAGGGCTTTTTCCAAAGAAAAAGGGAAAGAACTTACTTGCTTTAAAGTACTAACTGTTACTCAAATATCCAGCAGATATTAAAAGAATGGGATCATTACAACTCTGCCTCAAATTTGTCTTTCTAATGAGAATATTCCACTCAACCAAAGAACAAGGAAGACTGCCATAATGTGAACACAAGGAAGCTGTATTGCTGCTTCTTAAAGCAAGACAGACTTCACCTAGGTTGTGGCTGTGGAAAACCAAGGATTCTGTAGTTTCAGCAAGACCTTTAATAATGCCTCAACAACAACTGGCCTTAAAACAGAAAAGCAAGTCTCAGAGAGACTTCAAAGAGGAGACCAGGAGAAAAAGTGAAATTGTCTTGGTCTCACTGTGCCTCAATTATTCCATTGTTTAAATTATAAATTTAAAGCTGAGAATATTCTCTAAAAATAAACAAAGGTGCTTGAAAACTTGGTTTAATGCCTAAAAAGGTCACAGAGAATGTCCATCAAGTCAGTGTCCACATAGATCATCACCTGCACTCTTCCATTTACAGCAGATGGACACAAATCCAGACCAGCAGCATAGTAGGGGCAGTAAATTCCAGGAAATTCAAGTAGAGAACTAATTTTTGTGTGCTACAACAGAAGGATAAGCTACTTCAATAGCTTTAAACTCCTTTACAACTTTGAATCTTTAGGTCTTTTTAGTAAAACGATCATAGGTCACAACCACAGAGAGTCTATAAAGTCTAAAACCAAAATTGTGAGGTCAGAGGAATGGGAGGACACACATTAAAAGTGTTGAGAAGAGGGACATGCACACACACATGCTTCCAATGGAATTTTATTTTTTGAAGTTAATGGGTTACAATCAGTAGGTTTTGGCAATGACTGCCTTCCTCCCCAAATGTCATTGTTTTGTTTTGCAGATACAGATTTTTTTTTTTTTAATGAAAGGACTCTCAGAAGATCCTGAGGTGCTACTTCTGTGTCTGTAGAGATGGAGAAGACATTCTGTAGTAGGCCAGGAAACAGCCCACAAGTTACTCATCTCCCTTCCTATTGTGCTACGGTGCTCAAGGAGTGGCCTTTTGCTTGAAATCATTGTTCCCTGGCTAGGAATCACATTTTTTTCCACTCAAAGCACATCAAAAACACTCTGAAATCATTAAACAGCATACAGATCCTAATGATATTGTGTAATTCCTTTGCAGCCACTAAATGAAAACAAAGAGCTCTTCTATCAGCCCACATGTCCTACTGTAGCTGCTGCACTGGTGTACTATAAACACGTACAGAAAAAAAAATCCCATCTGAAGAAAATGTGCCTGCCTGTGAAAAAGGTGCCTGCCTTCACGATGGGACACAATGCCAAACACTAAATACCACAGCTGCTAAAATGGGCTTGGAGCTTCAGAAAGGAATGTCACTAAAAATCTCTACCAGGAAGATGACTTAGCTCCAAATCAACAGAAAATGCGTGACTAAAATAATGTTTTTCCTCTTATTTCTCTGATATTTATTTCTCAATCTTCTGTAGCTCATCTGACCTAAGGCATCATAAAGGCTGAGAGCTTTTGGGTGTAAGAGTGTGCATGTATCTGGTACTTAGGACACCACCAAACCATGGGCATTCTCACACTTCACCAAAATATAAAATCTCCTTACACAGGCCCTTAAACAAAGGATCTTCATTTCTTTGTAAAGAAAAACCTGACTGGGACAAGCTAGATATGAAAAGAAGGGCTCTGAGGGGCAAAGGGACAAGATGGGAAATTCTCTTGGAGGTAATTTTCCTCTCCTTTTAAACTCTCTCTAAGTCTCATGTTCAGCCACCAATTCTGAAGCATCTTCTCACTCCTCTCAGTTGTGTTTATCTGACCCTAACACACACCAGAGAACCTGCATGAGGCTCACTGATGAAAAGTCAAAGAGCCTTGCTCTAAAACCCCTCACTATCACACCACCTTGCACAGTTTGGCTTCTTTGATGTGAGAATGACCTGAGGAACCCATTAAATTGATAGCTAGATTACTAATGTTTTAGGAATGTCACTTTCCCACTGTCTAGGCAGTTCAATTTACAAAAACCAGTACATGAATTACACACATTGGAATTTTAGTAATTATTAATCTTTGACCTGTTCAAAGTGCTGTACAAACATTAACCATCTAATCCTCAGAATAAACATGCACTGCAAGTAACAAAAAACCCACCCTGAAAGCCTGCAACACAAAAACAAATAACCAACCATCCCACCTGAAAAGGCAATCTTGCCTCTCCTGCACAGGGAGTGATAAATACAGTACTGTGTGCTGAGCCCCTGAAAGCCACTAACAAAGTCACTAGAACAGACACAAAGGTAAGAGATCCCAAATCACAGTCCTGTACTCGTGCCTTTAAGGTACAATAGTTTTTAGCTCCTGATGTCTTTCCCATTAAACTCTGCAGATCATAGCCTGCACAGACACAAGAAGTCTAGGGCAGAAAAAAGAACAGCAACAAGGAACCACATACACAAATATTACAAGAAACACTGTCAAAAGATGATTTGAACAGCCCGTTTATGAGCTTACACACAATACCTTGGTGGCACGTATTTGCCTGTGAAGGTCAGTTAGTTGTTGGATTTTGTATTCTAGTTCTGAAATCTGGGCTTGAAGCCATGTCCAACGGCTGCCAATTCTAGCTCTGTCTGCAAGCCACTTCCATTCAGAAGTATAGCTGCTGTGAAGACAAAATGCTGGTTAGTCCAAAAATAAAGATAACCACATTTGCACAAGAACATTTTTGACAGCTGCTCTGCCTTATGTTGCAAGCATCTCAGTTGCTTTCAGAAGATATCTGATTATACCCATCCAGTTTCACATCAGCTTATTTCTGCAGCAACAGAACTTGCCCAAACCAGTACAATCCGTGCTCACTGGCTATTCCCACACTAAACTAGTTTTTTGTTCTGGATTATAAAACTCAGAGCTGGATAAACTACCCAACTATATCAGTTAAGGCTCATTACAGATGTGTAAAGAATTCCAATAACTCCACCAACAAGAATCCAAACTCTTACACCAGACTTCCTCCCACAAGCTTTCACAAATACTGCTTGCTAACAACTGGAATCTAATAAAACATCATGCAGCAATGACCAGCTAGATATCAGGTCACTGCCCAAAAAAACTCCAACTAAGTAGTTCAAATTTCGTTTATTCAAGCTATTTTATAAATACCTGTGTTAGTTTAGTTTAGTCAGATCACTTTTACTACTTTTTAAAATAGATCCTTTTTGCAATACAAAAAAATATGCCTCCTGGTACTTGACATTGTGAACACCTTAATTTTACTATGCTAAATTCATCACTGGTATCAGCAAATATTACTCAACCTACATAGTAAACAAATCAATGAGGAAACCATACCATGTAACAAACAATCTTAATATTCTATAAATTTAAGCAACACAGATGAGACAATGCAGTATTTTAGTTTGTAACTTCTACTACTATCCTACCATTTAACTGAGTTCATTTATTTACAGAAAGCAACTGGTGTTTTTTTCCCCAATGAAGCTGTCAAGTAGTTTACCACAGCTAATTTTAAAAAACTTCAAAAACAAAAATCAAACTTCTAGCAAGTAAGTGTTTTTCCTCAAGTTATTGGGAGAATTACTGGATCTAGATCCTTGATGACACTGCAACTTTTGCACATGCAAAATACATGATCTCCTTTCCAGGCAGTGAAGAGCACTGAAGTATCACAAAAGATACAAGAAATAGCAGATGCCAATGAACTGGCATAGGAACATCATGCAAATGTAATTGTTTCATGCAGAATTTTGTGTCAACAACAAAGAAAGATAATACAGCAGAAGATGCTAAACATGTCCTGGAATGAGTTGGGAATCATCAAATTTGAGAATTCTAAAAGTTTCAAGGCTAATATTATAAAACATAATATAACTCAAAATTTCAGAACTTTCAGTTTAGTTTAGCTATCATAAATAGTAAGGATAGACACAGTCTCTGGTAGGTCACTTCTAAAATATATAGATCTTATCCCTTTTTAACACAAATTATCCTCCCACATAATTTATCACCAGCTTAAATTCTCTCATACACAGAAAAAATGAAAATACGAAATTATGGTGATTGAAACGTCCTATTTAAATACAAATTCTACAAAGAAGCAATGTAGATTACTATCAAAAAGAAACTCAAAGAATTCTGTAAATATATATTATAAATTACTTGTATTTTACATATTCTAGGAGTAATTTTCTCCTAGGAAAAAAAGGCATATGATGTCATCTTGTGAAAATCTATTTTTCTGAACTCTTTTTATTTCTCTTTATCTTCCCATTATTACCAGCAAAGAGTAGAAAGTCCCAATTACTTATGCTTTAACCAGGTCTCCCTGACAAGAACAGCTTCTGCATGTTTGTGCTCCTGAAAGTCATAAAATACACTTTGCTGGGAAAGGGAGGGAATCTGAATTCCAAGTTTTTAATTAAATGTGTTCACACAAGCGTGGTGGCTGGAATAGTTAAGACTTGTCTCAGGACCCTGGTCTGGCAAAAAGCTAGCCCTAAGAGCTGCTTAATGAGTCTATAAAATTCCCTGAGTTGATAATTTTAACAAAAAAAAAAAAAAAAAGCTAAACTAAAGAGGAATGAAGAGGATAACTTTGAAAAACCCAACAGGAGTATTGACATGTTTATTTCTGCTCCTTTCTCAAAAGGCAATTGAACAAATGAACGATGAAACCTCACAAACCAGGACATTGTAAAAAGAAAGCCGAAGTGAAAGGAAATAAATCACACAGATTCACCTCCCAAACTAGATGCAGCAGTCTGAGACAAAGGAGATCTACTCTCAAACAGACTGAGGAGGAGTGGGAAGTAAATGAGAAGGAAAATAAGGTGTCCTGTACACAGCTGGGAAACAAGAGGCCGAATGGACAGAACTGGTCTTATGTCACCTACACTGCATGAACTCAGTGTGGCACAAGGGAATCCACAACCAGTATGGAACCACAGCTGACAGGAGAAGGAATGTTAAATGCTGTCACCTCTGTGTATTACTGTCATACACATACACAAGAATCCCCTGCAAAGTTACATCACAAGTTGTTTTTAAAAAATGGTTGCATTTTTTTTCCCCTCAGACATAGGACTGAATCTCGAATCAACTGCATTCACTGGTAAACACATTAAGTACATTTTTGCTTCATTCTAAAACACTATGCAAGTATTTCTTAAGGCTTTAAATTCTATTATATAATTAAAATAACAGCATTTAATTACACTGTGTAACAGTGTCCTTAGGCCCCACTCTAAGGAAAGGTTTCCACCAAACTAAGCACAAACATTTTATGCTCAGGCCAAAGGAAGCAATTTTAGCTTCTCCATCTTGTTAGCCCAGGGTGCTCCATGCCCAGTGCTTGCTCAAAGACTTGGGCAGCTACACGGTGACATGGATTAGAGAGTTGCTCCCAGTTAATTTAAATTTTAGGGGCAGCATGACTGAAGCAAGTCTACATCCCTTCTCCAGTTTTGATATGTTGGAGACAGGGTAAGAGACAGAAGCATTGCTGAACTCTGTTCCCACCCCTGTCATTCCTACTTGTTTGATCTTGCATTATTTTTAACCATCTTTTCCTCTAAGCCTATTTCTCTACAAATCTTTTAGTAAAGCTTGTAACTCTCAAGGAAGATAAAATCACTATGAGCTATCCTCAACTTCCTGAAGTGAGCTGCTCGCTTGCAAAGGTTGCTCCAGTGACAAATTATAACCTATTTCTGCAACAAAAAAACCCCAAACCAACTTTGAAACAAAACCCAAACCTGGGTAAATCTGTTCCTGGGATGCTAGATAGTAGAGCTTAACAATCACTCATTAAAAGGAAGTTGCTTCAAGGTTGCTTCAGAGAATTCATTAATTCTGCAAACCAGAGAAGGAAGAAAAACCAAACCACCAAAAACCCAACCACAGTTACAAAAATAACCAGGCCTGTCACTGAAGGAGGAAGTCAGAAGCAGGTGCTAAAGTAGAAGCTCCTGCTCTTGTTTTCTGTTGGGAATGAAACAAGAAAAAATATATTTCTGTCTGTTCCACTTCCTGTGTGCTCCTTTCACAAAGGATCTTTACTTGGTTTCCACGCTTTTGACTCTAAGATCATACATCCTCTAAAGGAATTCCAAAATCTTTCTTCTGCTAGCAACTCAGCATAAACCATGTTACACTGGTAAAGTTTCTCATGTTCAGTACTGCAGTACAGTGGAATATTAAATTTGCATATAAACTTACTGCTCTTGCAGTGACTCTTAATCGGCAGCTGATCTGCTACATTCATCGAGGATTATCAGAATTGGAAGAGAATAGAGCAATATGGATTTTGTATCAATACAACATCTCATTTAAATTGCCCTAGGAAAACATGCTGGAATTGCAGTAGGGGCAGCTTGTTTCCATGCAAAATACCTGCCTGCATTTCTGTCTTGGTTGGTCTACAGATCAATCCTGCACGACTTAAAAGAGAAGGAAAGAAAAGAAATGCAGCAGAACAAACAAGGCACAAGGCACAGACACAAATGCAAACAAGGTATGATCAAAAATGTAGCTAGGAACAGACATTCAGGCTGTACCAGGGCATCCCAAAGTATGGAAAAGAGTTCAGTTGGGGATCATCAGCAACAGCAGAGGCAGTATAAGCATTTCATCAAACCTAGTGGCTTTTGCTGAGACTGAAGAGGCAAGCAAAGAGCACTAAGTACTGCTATTACAGTCGGTACTGCTGCTGGAACTGAAGGAAGTTTCAGCCATAACCCTTAGCACTCTCACCTTCCCTCAAAGAGAAACACTGAGAGCAAACCATGTTTTTACATAACCAAACCAATACTGCAGAATACAAAAGACTCTCAGTATTTCCAGTGCCTCCATTGTGTTTTGGGTAGGATTTATGTTTTCTCAATAGCTAAGATCAGCTTGTCCTAAAAAAACAAATGCAGGCAACCTATCTGAGTGCAAAAGGGAGCTGCTAACCAAGATAAAATTGCTGAGCTACACACACTGCTGTTTGGAGGTTGTGCATGGGTTTGGGATTTTTTTGGTTACAGGAGACAAGAAGAGGTGGAATTTAAACCTCAAAGGCATATTTTATTTTTATAAGCAAACAAAACAGTAAGTCTGAAAACAGTTCATAAATGATGAAGAAACATGGTGGTGTTTAAAATGCACAAAACACACAGGATCTGGGATTGACAGTAAGTATCCAGGAAGGTTGGTCAAAGCAATACATGATGAACATAAAAAGAGTATTTTAGAGTGTGCAGCTCTGTGACCATGGCAAAGCTCTCCACAAGTTATCTTATATGCTGAAAATTGAAAGCAAACTAAAGCCTTCCACCTTTGTAAGTTCCAGCGAGAACAAGTAGCATGCCCTACCATGACATGTCTGCAGGGACAATGACAGGATGCTTCCTGCTAAACAGGAAAGGAGCATGCTTGAAACAGACCCACACCAAAACTCAACATTTTTAACGCTGGACAATGCAATGACACAGTCACCTTTCAAAAGGCTTTAAAAACACCAACATTTTCAACTAACAACACTTAAATCACACAAGCCAGACAGCAAGGCACTCACATAGTGTGGGTGGAAAAAATATCCTCCAATTCGAAAATTCTTCATTAAACATAAGAAGGGCAGTTGTTCCTGACATCCCCTCACCC